TGTTTCCTTTCTAATTCCGCTTGTAGATAGCAGCACTTGAGGAAATATTGATGAACACGACGTATGAACCACGAGATCTACACGTTTCCGCGATAGATACAGGTCTTCGATGGGATATGGGTGAGCAAAATACCTTATTACTAACTTATTATTTGATACTTGATACGGCGTTTCCGTCACTGACGCGCTGTTGATCTCCTCCAGTAACTGAGCCAGCAATCACGCCACCGAGTTCAAAATGCCTTATTGGGGAACGATAAATCACCTTATTTTGCTACTTGGATCTGTTTTAGGCATTTCATTGTTGCTTTCCTCCATGCCATTCATGCACCTGGGTCGAACTCACCGTGTCCGTTTGCAGGGTGCAGCCTAGCGACTTTGTTGACAAAAAAGCTTTTAAATCATTCGTTTTTTCGCAGTAGGGATCTTCCCTATGTGTTCTTTATTGTCCTGGCCTCCCAAAAGTATTATTTATTGGATCATAGAGGACGTTTTCTAGATGTTGCTTTCTAGAGAAATTATCGGATCAACGTTTTTTTCGATGGAAGCGCTTGGCAGGGTTTTAGCTGTTTTGAAATATTCATTGTTTGTGTCTTTAAAATTCCTGAAGCACTTTGGTGTATGTTGGGTATTACCTCCACTCTGAAACTTACCACAGCTAGTTCTGCTAATTTTGGTTAAATTCTTTACACCTTTAACAACGAACTTAGGAGCACAGTGCATCCAGTTAGTATGGTGGTACTTTTTCCATATTCGATTGAAAGCTCTCCAACGTATATGATGTCCACTGTATATAAGTCAGTTATAATTTATGCCACCTGCCACGGAAAACTCATGAAAAGCCGTCCAAGAAGCCACCACAAAGAAGAAAGAGGAAAAAAGGAAGGCGTGCCTTGCCTTGAGAGGCAGATACACAGCAAATGTGCTGCCAGGCTGAAGCTTGAGCACTAGGGCCAGTGGTGTAGTGGCAACACATTGCATCCAGACATTGGAGGGAGTGGTTCGGTTCCCTCCCGGTGCAGGACAGTTTTTGAAGAAGGGCTTCGTTCACGACGCAGTCTTTGGTAACATGTATTACTATGGCTAGGTATATATGTTTCATATGTTTAAACTTAGCCTAAAAATTCAACTGGCGCCTGTTTACCCCGAAGGATTAGCTGGTAGTTTTTCGCCTGCTGGAATGGTGATATATGTCTGTCCAATTGCTATTAATGACGTGTATTTTTGCTCGTTCTTTTTTCTTATAACTAAGGGATGAAACATAGAATGCTGTTCGATATATCCATCGGCATTTGTGCTTTATATATCCAGTATCTTGATCTTTGCAGAATTTTACTTATCAGCTTAGCGCAATTTCAGACTCAGTTCTTCCAATAATGGATGCGTTTCGACTGGCGCTTCTCGAACCAACACTGAACAGGATTTTCTGTACAACGACTGCCGTAGTTGGAAGGGCACCGAAAGGACTGGAAACAATGCAGAGGCTCACCAATTTCCTAGTATGCCTCAGAATTTATTTGCGAACTTTGATCAATTTTCGCACTGTTATCGCTTACATTTGACGCAGCTTGCAGTTTTTTTGCAGTTCTGACCGAATCTCTTGATGTGGTTTGGTAGAGTTTAAAATACACAGAAGGTTGAACCACCTTTCCGCCGCCTTTTATTCTGTTAACCCAGGGAGATGGGGCTTTGATTGTGGAAGTGCCCAAATCACATCTGGCGGAATGGTGATTACATGCTTTAAAAAAGCTTATTTTTTGGCCAGAGTAACAACGAAATTGGTTTAATTGAATCATATGCATACCTTACGCATGGCGGACAAGAAGCTGTGCTGATCACTCTCACTCTTATCGTAAATGCCGTGCTCTGCCTCTATTTACAGCTAAGGAATGAAACACAGAATGTTTTCTAATGTGCCTACCATCACATACAATATTTAGATTGATCTCTTATCTCCGATCTCCAATATTTTATATCCCACACAGAATCTAGCATGTTAACTTTTTCTTTACGTGACTTTTTCATGACTGCAACTTTTCGTTGGTTTTTTCATGAAATTCAAAAAAAAAAATCATTTTTTTATTCACTGTTGTGTGGTGTGAGGCTTTTGAAAGACTTGAAAGACTTGTTTTTGCAGATTAGCGCTAATTCGGATCCCATCCGCATCGTGGCATGTCGAGCAATGGCCAATGCTGCATTTCATCAATGGGGTCGTACTCTGTTCACTCATGATGTTGCTACAACAGTTACTGCTGTAGCAGCACAACTGTTAAGTCCTAAACCTGCCTTACAGGTATTTTTTCGCAAAGTTTTGAATGAGTTTGTTTGAGTATTTATCTAAAAAACGGTAGACCTAACCTCCTTGATCCAGTCCCATTTTTTCGATTTTTTATTGTGATAGACCAGTTCACTTGGAAGCAGTCCTTCAGTGATAACCACTTTGCTGAAGGCAGACGTCTACTCAGCATTTTCGGCTATTTCCTTCTTCACTGATTGCATGAGAAACAACCTAAAAGCATTTTTAGTAGCGGACGAGGATAGTTAGTTGGGTAAAAATTTTGCTGCCAGAATGAATTATTTGAGAGTTTACTGACTGATCCTGGTGATTGTCGTGAACGGGGCCCTTTTCAAAAAAAAGCTGTGGACCGGGAAAGATTCGAACCACTCCTCTTCAAATTCGCAAACGGCTTACTAGCCACAACACCACCGATGCTTGTACTCCAGAATCAACTCAGCAGCACATCTACTGTTTATCTGCCTTTCAAAGCAAGATACACCTTTCTGTTCCTGCTGCGGCAATAATACATCTTCTTCTTTGTGGTGGCTTCGTCGTCAGCTTTTATGGAATTTCCGCGACAGTGATAGGCCAGGCCTGACAGCAAACACCGCTTATGATCGCACTTAATCTGCTGTTTGTTGTGAATTAAAATTCGGAATTTCTAAAACCAGAAGGTAATCTTTATTAGCAGAGTAATGGAAAAAGTAAAATTCATAAAAAGGTCGAAAAAAGGAAGGTGGCATTCATAAATCGCTTATGAGTTTTAGATTAGTGATTTGGTTCTTCATGAAACTGGGGACTTTTCTAGTTCCTTTGACTAATACTGTATCGGATGGTAACACCCTGATGGACAATCGTTCATCTTGTTTTTCATGAATTTTGAAATCAAGAGGTTATTCTCCAGACCCTAGCAAATTATGTTCTGTGAGGACCATTCGATTCTGAGTTTCATGTTGCTGAAATAGTAAAATAAAAGAATTGGCCTTAAATGTCATTTGCCGAAGAACATTTTGCGGTACAGCCTGTTTTATCCCTTAGCTGTAAACATAGACCGAGCAGTGCATGCTGGCAGGAACGGGAATCATCAGCACAGCCTCCCACCCGCCATGTTTTGCAAGACAGACATGCGAAAGGAAGAGAAATCAGAGAGAGAGAGAGAGCAAACAGCTTTAAAGTACTTGCTGCTTAGCATAAATAGGCTTCAGTCATGTAATCACTGTATATTTTTAGCTCGCAGCAGCAACAGTCTTAGCGAATTGGGCGTTAGTATTACTTCAGCAGACGGAGACCGAAAAAATCGCCGAACTCGGTCCTCGAGAAGATGTACTCCGTGTTGTTTTAAAGGTTTTTTTTTCTACTTTTTTCGCCTTATCCAGCACTGTGGGTGTAATTTTTCTGGTAATCGATGGTGCTAATTAAAATCTTACTTCCTGTTTATATTTGATATCTATATTTATGGCATATAGGAAGATTTTTGACTCCTGAAGCAGACTCCTGAAGAAATTTTTTGAGAATTTTTTTTTTTTTGAAAAAACTGAAATTTTTTGAGAAGCAAACATACGCATCAGATAAGCATTGTCATGCCAACTGTAAGTAATCCCCAGGATTGAAGGGTCTTATGTAACTGCATCCGTCGTATGGGAGCATCTCTGTAATATCACTGATACAAGGGCACTCACACTGTTTTGTGAGTGGCCTTGATATTTTTGTTATTTGTTTATTTGTTTTTCCCTTCTTTCTTCATCTTCCTTCGGTAATCAATATGTTCCTTAAAAGGAATGGGACACTGTACTGATGATTCGCATCCCATCCCGCGCCGATTCTGTCGTCTGTTTTTACAGCTCAAGGGTGAAACACAGACAGGCTACCAAGTCACTACACATACAGGCTTGCTTATTTGGGAGGTCTAAATGGCACTTCCAGTGTTTTCATTAATTGTCAAAATTCGATTGTGCTCCTCTCTACGGTGGGCCAATAACGCCAAACAAACTGCTTATGTTAACACATAGAAGATTTCAGGCCCCAGTTCTCTTCCATTCTCCTTGCCAGTAATATCCACTGTTTGTATTTTTAAAATTTCTACAACCCTTGGCGTAGAATTTTAAATGTTATTTTAAAAAAAACAAGAATTCTTGGACTTAAAAAAAGATACCGCCACGCTGTCCTGTCCAGCAACTTCGTTGTCAGCTTATGGGCATTACCCCCTTTTTTTGCGAAGTGCAACATGCTAGTTATATCTTATCTTTGTTCAAAAAACAGTATGCATAAAAAAGCCAGCTTTTTCAGATGATTGATGATATTAGCAGTTTTGGAGATCACACTCAAGATGCTTTGATACGTCTGCTGCAAGCAATCGTAACACTGATGTGGGGTGATGCTTCATTGATAAAGGTTATTGCATTTTATTGCATTAGTTTTTGGTTACTTT